AAATTATATAAAAAGTTATATTGCTTGAAATAAACACGAATTAAACTAAATATTCTACCTACTTAGTGCATTTCTATATAATCGTGTTTCAAAAACATGGAATTTCTTACAAACATTTTTGTAAAATATTTTTGCAATTGGAATAGCCGTTTACGAAATATTATTGAAAAACTATTTTTCGTCAAACGCGCGCGAGTCAAAAACTTCCCGTTTGTGTAGAGCCGGCTAGTACTCAGCGATGGCTGCCAAGGTCGTTTATGTTTACTCGCGCGCGTTTGACGAAAAATAGTTTTTCAATAATATTTCGTAAACGGCTATTCCAATTGCAAAAATATTTTACAAAAATGTTTGTAAGACCCTAGTGAACATTTTTTTCGGGATAAGTTTTCACTGACTGAAAATTTTTCAGATAAACGAAGCCCTTGAAAATTAGGAAACGTAAATTTGTCACTGTGAAACAAAAAAATTCATAACTTTTTTCGAAATAAAAAAATCACATTCTTACAAAGTTTGTCGTCTTAAGAATAGTTTAAACTATAATTCCTGTAAATTTTGTCAAAAAATATTTATTACTTTGTTTTTTAGAGCGAGTTGAAGTGAAAAATTTAATTAAACTTGTGTTTTCTAAAAATCCAGTTTTTTTCGATTTACTCGAAAACCGAAAAAGATAGAGATTTTTTTCATGGAAGAAAAAAGATGCGGAATAAAATTTCCAGTAATGTAGTAATAAAAAAATTTTTTTTTTTTTAAATCGATTTTTCAAGCGTCAGGGGCCAACTCGAACGGCCGTACAAATTTTATGCGCCCTTTTACTTTCCGGCGGCTCATATTATAAGTTTGATTCCCTAATTTATTTATTCGAGTTGTTCAGTAAGTACACGTACATATATAAAGAAAATATTGTTATTAGAATAGGAAAAATATTTTTTTGTGTATCTGAAAAGTAACGCTATTTGATTAAGAATACTCATTATTGAAAAATACGATTATCTACACACATAAAAATGATTTGATTGAATCAAAGAAATCATTTTATAAAATCACTTATTAAGTCAAAAATAAAATTTATTTAATACAAAAATTTAATTGATTTTAAGAAAAAATGATTTTGGAATGTTTTGAACTAAAGAAATTTTTTTAACTGACATGTTTAATCTAAAGAAAAATTTCTTTAAATCAAAGAAATATTTTTTCAAACTTAAGCACGCTGATTTACTACGAGCGTTCACTGCGCGCGCATCAGCTACGTAAAGTCACAAACAGCTGCGTGTGCCTCATGTTGCAGCATGTTCACGGCGTAATAATTTATAATCGTTTTCAGTTTTATGCAGATAAATTTCGTTTCAAGTTTTTTTGTATTGAGTGACAAAGAATTAAATTAAATTAAACATTAATCAATCCAAGTGTTTAATATAATTTAAGCATTAATTCAATTTCTAGAAATAATATTATATTATCTTAAATGAAATAATTTATTTTTTCAGTTGAAATAGTGATATAATCTTGAAGGAAATCATTTTTTTGTTTCCTTGAAAATATTTTTTATTTAATTAATTAACTTGATTAACGCATAGTTCTTGAATTAAGAATTTAGTATTTGGCAGAAGTAAATATGTTATTATTGCAACCCAATATTTTATTTTCCCGAAGTACCAAAAAGTAATCAATCAAGAATATTAGGTTATTAAGCAAAATAATAAAATATTGTCTGAAGAATTTTCATTTCTTGAATCAAATAGTTTTATGCATTTGCTTTGAATTAATTTTTTACTTAATACAAATCCCGTATTCTTGATCCAAGAAAATATTTCTCTCCAAATGGATGTGAAACTTAAATAGGAGTTTTTGAAAACCATCAATTGAGTCAGGATGGCATAGTGGTCTACGTTACTGCCTTTGGTGCGCGCAACTCGGGTTCAGTTCCTCGGACCGTGAAAAATTTTCATTCAAGGTATACTTGTTTTAGTTGTGTTAAGTATTAATTAAATATAAATGTGTATGTAAAATAAACATTATTTAAATAAATAATAAAAAATATGAATGTTAATAATAAATTAAAATGTTTGACTTAAGAATTAGATATGGTGGGATAAGGAAGGAGTGTAGGAGGGGGGGGGGGGTAAATTCAAGTAAATATTTACTTGTATTGGAAAAATATTTTTTTGGTTCAACTCCATGAGTTTTCTCAAGTCAAGAAAATATTTTCTTGACTTAATATATATGATCTTGACTTAATATATTTTACATTTCTTAGAAGTCAATAAACTTCTTAGACGAATATATCTCCTCACAATATAAATAATATTTTGATTTAAATCTTGTCTTACTTGATCCAATATTGCAAAGATTTGAATGAATCAAATGAAACAATTAATTTGACTACATATATTCTCAGAACAAGAAAATATTTTCTTCCTTTAATGTATTTTACATTTGTTACAAGTTGATTAATATATTGCTCGAATTCCATATTTTCTTGGATCAAGAATATATGCTCTCGTCCCAAATATACTATCTCAAGACAATCGTTTACTTGAACCAATGCCGTAATTGACTTGTCCCTATTCAATTCCACGGTTTACTTGAAGCAAGTAAAATTTTCTTGATTCAATACTATTTTTTTTCAGTGTACATGATTACTGCCAGGAAAATTGTCTTACAGTAAATGCTAAGAAAACAAAAATAGTTGTGTTCACTAAATCGGGAAACTCAAGAGCCAAACGATTCAAAGCATTTAAATATGGAGACGAATACATTGAGGTTGTTAAGCGATACGATTATTTGGGGGTTGCTTTCTCCGATTGTTGTTCTTTTTAGTTGGCCTCTAAGAAATCAATTAGTGCAGCCAATTCAGCGGCAGGATCTATCTTGAACAGTATCCAATCAATTGAGGAGAACTCTTGGCCAGCGTATATAAAATTGTTCCAAAGCGTGGTTCTGGGCATTTGGTCGTATAGCGCACAGATAAGGATCCTAAATTTCTTGGACGATTTAGAGGGGGTTCAATTGGGTTTTTTCAAGAGGCTCTTTATGCTGCCTAACTGTACCCCGAACTACGCGGTGAGATTGGAGACGGGCTCCTTGCATGCCTCCTTCTATGTTCTGAAGGGCATCCTGTCTTGGGTTCGTAAAATTGCAACAATGGAAACTTCAAGGTACCCAAGACGGTGCCTAGAGGAGCTAGGACGTTTGGCTGTAAGGAGGCCGAGGGACAAATCAAACTGGTTTATTAAACTGCGGACCTTTTTTACTGATTGCGGTTTGGGGCGCAGATGGGTGGCGGAGTCTCCGTTGACACTGGCCGAAAATATGAAGGACAGCTTGAATATTTATGCAAAACATCTTGTATCGGTTGACAGAGAACGCCTCCGGCTATCGAAAAGCCTATTATTATATCCCAGCCTTCAATTACAAAGTGGCACTCAAAAAAATTTGCTATTTAAATGTCATTTATATTTTAAGAGAGTGTTTGCTCAGATGAGACTACTTAACACGCATGTGTGTAGAATCGTAGTCGAAGGCCGAAAATATTCTTTTGTTCAAGACCAGGAATGCAAACCCTGTAAACTAGAGACAGAAAATTTGTATCATATCTTAACTGCTTGCCCAGCGTGCGCACATTTGTGGGAACAATTATTTCCTCAAATTAATTCATGTAACAATGCCTGGGAATTCTGGCTCTCTATTATGTCAACTCCAAAACAGCCCGAAATGTTTAAATTTGTAAAACTGCTAATTAAGATTTTAAAAGAAAGAATGTATGCTGAGGAATCTAATGTATGAATTGCTGGCGAAAACACCGCTTGTATATACAATGTATTACAAGTGTAATAATAAAAAAAAATAATTTTTATTTTTCCAAATAAAAGTTTATACTATTTTTGATTTTACATAATTACCATTTCTTATAATTTTGTTTCTTCGAATTAACATTTTGTATAATAAATATTTTTTCGAACAATTATTTGTTATAAAATGTAATTTATCAAATTTATATATTTTCTATTTTTAAAAGTTACGATTTGCTATTTTATCTAATTTTCATTTTACCGATTTGCCATTTCAAATAATTTCTAAATTTGCTAATTATTATTTTTCAGAATTTTAATTTTAACGAATTATTAATATTAGAATTATTTCTTTTGCGAATTACCACTTAAAAAAATGTTAATTTCCCCTAATATTCATTTATTCTAATCTTTATTTTCTCGAATCGGTATATGCCGTAATAAGAATTATACCAAAACTCCATTTGCCCTAACATACTTTCGGTCAATTACAGTACTGTAGTTTCCTATATACATTAATTTCTGGAATTTATCCTCGCCAGGCCATCGCTTGTCGGTATTGTAGGGTGCGTCACAGGAAGAGGCGCAAAAATTCCAGAAATTAATGTAGATGGGAAACGACTGTACTGAAATTGACCGGAAGTATGTTAGGGCAAATGGAGATTCGGTAAAATTCTGATTATGGCATATAACGATTCGAGAAAATATATATTAGGGGAAATTAAAATTTTGTTAAGTGGTAATTCGCAAAAGAAATAATTCTAATTTTAATAATTCGTTAAAATTAAAATTCTGAAAAATAATAATTAGAAAATGTAGAAATTATGTGAAATGGCAAATCGGTAAAATGAAAATTAGATAAAATAGCAAATCGTAACTTTTAAAAATAGAAAATATATAAATTTGATAAATTACATTTTGTAACAAATAATCTTTCGAAAAAATATTTATTATACAAAATGTTAATTCGAAGGAACAAAATTATAAGAAATAGTAATTATGTAAAATCAAAAATAGTATAAATTTTTATTTGGAAAAATAAAAATTATAAAAAATAGTAATTCAGTACAATAATAATTATGAGAAATGATTATTCGGTAAATTGAAAAGTATAAAAAATGTTCTTTCGAAGTTAAAAAATTCTGTCAAATAATAATTCGAAAGTATTTTGTAGGAGACATTTTTTGAGGAACAATAAAACACAGTCACAAATACTCTTTAATTAACTCTTATATTTTAGGCACTTTGGTTGAACTCTTTGAACAGAACTTAATAGTCTCTTAACAGTAATAATACTTGATTATTTAACAGTGCACGAGGCGTCAGTCTACGCGGTATATCTTAGTCGAGAGAGCTTCACGGTCGAACAACGTGAACGTAGGCGTGTATCGACAACGGTCGATACTATCGATATAAAATGGCGTTCGCGCCAGATATCGACAAAGTTCGAATCTTAATTCTCACACTCCCTCCCTTTGTCGATTTATAAAACATACAAATATTTAAACGAATATAACATTATGATTAAGAATAAGTGATTAAAAAAAAATATCTTCTTTACATCAGTCCTCTAGTTTCTCTTTAAACGATCCTCTTTTGTAGTTACTCTTGTTAGTTTCCACGTTTATCTGAAAGCATATATAAAAAAACTTGTTAATTTTAACTCTTAAATTTTTTGTGATTTTATTAGTATTAAATCATGTAACTCTTAAACTTTATCTCTAGAATTTTACATCTAATTCAGCATTTTATCTCTGAAATATTTATGAGCATCTAATGGTAAAGGTTTTGTCATAATGTCGGCTACATTCTCTTTAGTTGTGATCCATTTAACATTGACTTTTCGTTTGTCAACGCACTGTTTGACGAAATCTCCATGTGTGTCTGCCATGTGTTTTCTGTTTCCCGTTTCTTCTCTTAGTTTAAGACTCTCTTTAATTTCCTCTAGGTTGTCATCGAATGTTTTCATTTTGTGACTTCCATCCTTCTTTGTACAATCTCCTGCTGACTTGTTGTCGCACCAAATCGTCACTGGGAACAGAGTTCTACCAATGATGAATCTGATTGATTTGTCGAGTGAGATCAGCTCTTGACAAGCATCGCTCATAGCAAGATATTCTGCTTGGCAGGTTGAGAGTGTGACATATGTCTGTTTGTGACTTCTCCATGCGATGACGTCTCCAAACAATTTTATCACATATCCTCCAGTGGTTGTTGAGTCTTGACAATCTCTAAAACTCGCATCTGTCAATCCCTCTAAATCTGCAGTTTGTCCTTTGAATTTTAAACTCATCTTGGTAGTACCTCTTAAATATCGGAAAACTCTTTTGATATCCATCCAGTCATCTTCAGTTGGCTCTAGTTGTTTTCTTGCAAGATAATTTACTGCGACAGTTATGTCCGGTCTTGTTGCATTTGACAAGTACATTAAGCTTCCAATGGCTTCTCTATACGGTACCTTTTTGATTTCTTCTTTTGGAATTTCACTCTTAGTTTCTGTTTCCTCTAATTTTCCTCTTTTGTATCTGTTGTTGACTTGCCTGGTTACCATCGGTGTGTTTTGTGGTTTGCAATCTTTCATGTTGAATTTCTCTAAAATACTTTCAACATAGTTTGCTTGATGAATCAGCATGCTTTTATCCTCTAAATTTCTTTCAATGGTTATTCCAAGGAAGTTTCTTGGTTCACCAAGATCTTTCAGTTCGAAAGCGTTGCCAAGATGTGATATGATTTCATCTAATTTTCTTTTTCTGTTGCTCGCAAGAAGCATGTCGTCTACGTAAATCAACACGACTACTAGTTCGCCATCTTTTCTCCAAGTAAAGAGACATGGCTCGTGTAAATCATTTTCTAATCCTAATTTGGCCATTTCTTCCGAGAATCTCTTGTTCCACTTTTTCGGACTTATTCTCAGTCCATACAGTGCTCTCTTTAGTTTACATACTTTCGTTGCTCTAATGTTTTCGTCTATCTCTATTCCTTCTGGAATCTCCATGTATATTTCTTCCTCTAGTACTCCATTCAAAAATGCAGTCTTTACATCTAGTTGACGTGCAAATAGTTCATACTTGTTGATGATTGCTAATAGCGCTCTAACGATCGGCAATCTGTAAACAGGTGCGTATGTATCTTTCAGATCATACACATTTTTGTCTTTAAAACCTCTAATCAAACGGAATTTAATATTCTTATTATTTCAAATTCCCGCTTTCTTTTTGAAGAATTCAACTAAGGTTGAATCCGAGAATTACTTAGTCAAGTAGCGCTTGCGCGAATTAAATATTGGCTTGGCACGTAACATAAAATCACCAATCTCGCTTTGAGTCGGGTTGATCCATCAGCCTCTAACTTTTTCTTGAAGATCCATTTCGAATCAATTATGTTAGCTCTTTTTCCATCTTGCATTGTTTTTGGTCGATCAACAAATGCCCATACTTCGTTCGAATTCAAGGAATCAATTTCTTCTCTAATTGCTGATTTCCATCCTTCTTTCTCTTTGGTTTGCATTGCCTCTTCGTAGTTTATCGGATCTTTATTTAATGTTGCTATTAAACAGTGTCTCATTTCAATTTCTTTCTCTTCTTTGTTTGGGATGTAACCGTTTTCTTCGTTCACAAAAACACATGAGCAGTCGACATATCTGGAAAAGCTTGTGTCTTCTATTGGCTTTCCAATATAGGCCTTTTTGGTTTCTTCTTTAGATTCTAATTTTCTTTTGCTCTTACTTCTAGTCACACATCCTTGTTTGTTTTCAATTTTCTCTTCTCTCTTATTTTTGTCATCTAATTGTTTCTTCGATCTTCCTCTCTTTTTGGGTTCTGTAATCTTTTCGTTTTTCTCTGGCTCATCTTCTTTTCTTTCTTCTAAACAGTTCCAGTCAACTTCATTTGAATCTTCGATGTCTTGTATATTTTCGTTGTTCTCTAATTGGTCTCTTTTGTAGACATCTTTATACACTAACTTTTCGTTGAATCTTACGTGTCGCGACTCTATAAATTTTCTACTGCTTGGATGCCAAAGTAAATAAGCTGTAGGTTTGTATCCAACTAAAACGGCTTTTATTGCCTTTTCGCTGAATTTTGAGTTTGGTTTCGGTAGCTTGATATACCCTATACAACCAAATCTTTTGATTTGATTGAAATGACAACTTGCATTTGGCGCGAATAACTCTAAAGGAACTCTAAAATCTACCGACTTGTGAGGTGTTCTGTTGTATGCGTGAACGGCAGCGTCAACAGCAAATTCCCACATGCTTTTTGGCAATCCTGAATCTATCATATACGCTCTAACTTTGTTTTGGATAGTTTTATTGAATCTTTCGGCTGTACCGTTATGTTCAGGCGTGTAAGGTGGCGACGATTCAATTTCCGCTTTTTCTTCTTCTAAAATCTCTAAAAACTTCCCTCCAATGAATTCTGTGCCTTGATCAGATCTAATAAAACTCAATTTTTCAGTTTTACCTAATAAGTTTCGAGTTGAAATTAAAAATCTCCTAAGCGCGTCACCGTTTTCGTCTTTTGTTTTTAGCGAGTATGTTTTGGCAAATCTGGAATAATCATCTACAAAAACTACAATGAACTTCTTTGAACTTGGGTAAGAAATGGGTTTTATAGGACCCATTGTGTCAGTGTGAACTAACTGCAGAGGTCGCTCTGCTCTTTTCCTAATCTCTTTAAACGGTAGTTTTTCCATTTTTTCAACAATACATACCTCACACTCTAAAATTGAATTGTCGAATTTTACATTCTCTAGGATCTTTTGTGATTTTTGAAGTTTCTTGAGATAATTCAACGAAGCATGACCTAGCCTAACATGCCACAGCATTCCCTCATTGTATCTCTCTAGACTATCAGGCTTTTTCTCTAAATTATTTGGGATAAGTATATGTTCTATATTCTCAAAAGATTCTAAATCGTCTATTTTAACTGTCTCTCTAGAAATCGAACAACTTTCTATGTCTGTGATAATCTTAACCTCTAAATTTGATTCTTTATTTGCTTTTAAATCAATGAGCTTCTCTACATTCTCCCTCCCAATCGCGGAACCGTCAAGACAAGATTTGTTTTCTTCTCCCTCCGAACTCAAGAGCTCTTTATTTACATTACCTGTTCGCGATTGTTCAGAAAGCTCATGATAAGTAATCATTCTTGCTTTACAGAAGAATTTTTCGTACTCTAAATTTTGTTCATTTTTTAGGTTAAATTGTACAGTTCCTTTTTAAATTTGTAAGGATTTTTTACTTCTGATTCGAGTCTACTCTTATATCTATTAAACAGATTACTCTTAAAATATTTACCTCTATATCTGTCGTTTGATTGTTTGCGAACAGTGGGACAATCATCGCCTTTGTGGTTAGCTATTTTTTGGCAATAATAGCAAAACCACTGGTCGCAGTTTTTAAGATGGCAATCCTTTGCCCAGTGTCCGGTTCCGTTGCATCGGTGGCAACGTGTCTCTAGATTTTGAATAACTCTGGATCGTTGAGCTCTAGGTTCCTCTTTCTTTTCACTTTTCCTCTCGGCCTCTAACTGTAACAGAAACGATTTAATTTCTTCTAAACTCATTTCTTTTGAAAAATTTTGTCTCTGAATAAAATCGGTATTTCTTAATTCAGGCGTTATTGAAGATACCGCCTGATAAAAAGACGATCGTTTTTCTTGTTCGGTAAGAGGAACAGCGTTTTCGCAGGCTTCGTATTCTCTGATAATCGAGTCAAAGCGTTCACAGAAATCATCTACTTTTTCATCTTTTCTCATTTTAATTTGATAAATTCGTGCTCTCACGGATGTGTGAGTGACGTTGATTTCACTCTTTTTGTAACCTCTTAATTTCTTTAAAATTTCTCTTGGATCAGATTCATTCAAAATTCTCTTATGGTAATATTCATCTAAGTGGTTAATTATAATATCTCTAACAAGACTTTTTCTTTTCAAAATTTTAGATGATGAGATATTTTCTGGACCTGCTACATTTGAATCAATTATATCTAGCAAATCGTTACTCGTTAAATCAGACTTTAAATAATCTAACCAATGATCAAAGCTTGATTTCTGTGTCAGCTTATATTCTCGTTTTACATTTATTTTTGAATTGTTGAATTCATTTTCAGTAATTTTTGCATTTAAGGCATCAACACTTTCTTTGATTTTATATTGATCATCTAAAACTCTAATATTGCTCGAATTAGGATCTACTCTAGGTTTTTTATTAATTTGTTTTTCATCTTCTAAGTTAATCTCTAAATTTCGTTTTAAATCTTTCTTTGATTGAGTTACCTCTAAACTTCTAAGTCGAAGACGTTCAACCTCTAAATTGTTGTTGGATAACTGGACCATATGAGCGAGCATTTGGTTGCTCTCAACCAGCACTTTCTCCAAGGTATTTAGAGAACTTCTCATCCTGATGACGGATTCCTCTTGTAATTTGCGTAGTTTTGTATATTCGTGTTGAATAACACTTAAGTTTGTGGTTTGAATAAGTTGATTATTTGTAATCTTCGGAAGATTCCTTTCCGGCATCTCTTTAGTTTTTGCTGTGAAATAAAATTTTAAATTAATACCTGGATTTTATCTCTTTTCTCTAAGAACGTGTGAGGCCCGACTATCTTAAACTCTTTTATTTTCTAAAGAAAAATTCTAAACTCTTTATTTTATTCGACGTCTAATTTCTTTTACAGCAATTCAAATTAAAACGAAATTTTATTATTATAATAGCAGAAAAGAAAAGAATATTTAAACACCAATGTTTTACATTTTATTTAATTACTCAACGTATATTAATTCTTACTTCCTGTGTTTTTCTCTTTATTTTCCTCTTTATGCTCTTTTCCAGAATCTCTATCTCGTTCAAGTTTCTCTATAACTTCATCGAGATTCTCTTCATCTGGTTGAACTGGATCGGTATGCTCTAATTCCTCTTTGTATCGTTCGTTGTTAATTGATAACTCATCATCTGAGCTATATCCCACAAGTGGATTGTTTTGAAATTCAAAAAATGGTGATGTGTTCTTCTCTGCCATCTATTGCGAGTTTATGAAAACATATATTCCTTAATTAAATTTTCAAAGAAAAAAAATTTTTTTTTATTTATTCTTAAAATAATTCAAATACCAGGTATACTCTAAGTATTTAATAAGATAATTTTAAGGAAAAATATTTCTAGCCACCGATCCACAATGGACGCACAGCAATCCATCGCAAATCGAGGCGGGAGCCTGTATTCCTCGGCGCGACTACACGAACACACACACCTTTTCTCCAACTTTGTGGTTTTGAGCACGGCTTCAAGACCTGTTAGATTTCAGGTTGGCCATGCACGTGTTCGAGAGCCCCGCAAATTTATACCGGCCCCCTAGTCGACGGACAAAATTCACCGCACAGCAAGTTTCATTCATCAATCGACCTCGCAATAAAAATTTCATTTATTTATTTATTCTAGTGTTATTTCTCTTTGACGATTCTAACCTCTATTATTGAAAATTAATTTTCGTTAATTTTTTGTGGTAATGCTCAAAATTTATTCTTTTAGAGAAAAATTAGAATTTTGTTTATTCTCTTAAAATTCACTTTGCAGTAAATTTAATTCTTCTTTTAATTTTAATTTAAAGAAAAACATGAATTACGGTTGGTGTAAACCGGAAGTGAGAAAAACTTGGACATGAACACCATGCCGTCCGTCTAAAATTAACCTTTAAGGTTATTTTCTCTAAATGTCGTTTTCTCTAATTCTATTATCTCTAAGTTTTTCTCTAGTTATTATCGTAAAGATACTGACCTTCTAAATTTTGCGATTTTACTTTTGTGTCGACGTTTTGCCAAGGACGTTTCAGTTTTCACAAGCGAAGTGGAAAGCGTGCCCTGGGCCCATAACCTGTAGGAGACACTTTTTGAGGAACAATAAAACACAGTCACAAATACTCTTTAATTAACTCTTATATTTTAGGCACTTTGGTTGAACTCTTTGAACACAACTTAATAGTCTCTTAACAGTAATAATACTTGATTATTTAACAGTGCACGAGGCGTCAGTCTACGCGGTATATCTTATATAGGGTGTTTTCGAGATCCGTGCTGTCAGCGTGCTGATAGCATGAAACGGTTCTCAACCACTTTCTGACTGAGTTTTGTAATCGCACCTATGAATGTCACTTTAAAATATGCACCTAACCAAACCTCGACGGCCATTTTTCGATATTTTTATAATTCAGGAGAAGAGAAAATGTTTTGGAGGCGACAAAATGAGTATTTCTTAAATTTGTTATTTTTGCAAATGAATATTGGGCCATATTTTAAATAAATTTTGTAATTATTATCGTGTAAGAAATACAGTTTCAATTATAATTGCATTAAATTAAAATAATATAATTTGAAATTCTTTGATATTCTCACAATTCAGGAGAAGAGAAAATAGTTTTGAGGCGAAAAAATGATTATTTCTTAAATTTTTTATTTTTGCAAAAGAATTTGGGCCATATTGTTCTTAAATAAAAATTGTTCAATATGTACATGTGAAAAAATAAGTTTTAAACAATATTTTAATTAAACTTTATTTCAATAAATTATAGTTTGAGCATTTCCCTCCAAAATATTTTTCGAAAATAATTTGGAGGCAACCGCTGTTTTCCAGTTAAAACATTTATTTATATAAATTTTGTAATTATTATCGTGTAAGAAATACAGTTTCAATTATAATTGCATTAAATTAAAATAATATAATTCACAATTTTTCGATATTTTTATAATTCAGGAGAAGAGAAAATATTTTGGAGGCGACAAAATGATTATTTCTTAAATTTGTTATTTTTGCAAATAAATATTGGGCCATATTGTTCTTAAATAAAAATTGTTCAATATGTACATGTGAAAAAATAAGTTTTAAACAATATTTTAATTAAACTTTATTTCAATAAATTATAGTTTTAGCACTTCCTCCAAAATATTTCGCGAAAATAATTTGGAGGCAACCGCTGTTTTCCAGTTAAAACATTTATTTATATAAATTTTGTAATTATTATCGTGTAAGAAATACAGTTTCAATTATAATTGCATTAAATTAAAATAATATAATTTGAAATTCTTTGATATTCTCACAATTCAGGAGAAGAGAAAATAGTTTGGAGGCGAAAAAATGATTATTTCTTAAATTTTTTATTTTTGCAAAAGAATTTGGGCCATATTGTTCTTAAATAAAAATTGTTCAATATGTACATGTGAAAAAATAAGTTTTAAACAATATTTTAATTAAACTTTATTTCAATAAATTATAGTTTGAGCATTTCCCTCCAAAATATTTTTCGAAAATAATTTGGAGGCAACCGCTGTTTTCCAGTTAAAACATTTATTTATATAAATTTTGTAATTATTATCGTGTAAGAAATACAGTTTCAATTATAATTGCATTAAATTAAAATAATATAATTCACAATTTTTCGATATTTTTATAATTCAGGAGAAGAGAAAATATTTTGGAGGCGACAAAATGATTATTTCTTAAATTTGTTATTTTTGCAAATAAATATTGGGCCATATTGTTCTTAAATAAAAATTGTTCAATATGTACATGTGAAAAAATAAGTTTTAAACAATATTTTAATTAAACTTTATTTCAATAAATTATAGTTTCAGCTTTTCCCTCCAAAATATTTTTCCAAAATAATTTGGAGGCAACCGCTGTTTTCCAGTTAAAACATTTATTTATATAAATTTTGTAATTATTGTCGTGTATGAAATACAGTTTCAATTATAATTGCATTAAATTAAAATAATGTAATTTGAAATTTTTTGATATTCTCACAATTCAGGAGAAGAGAAAATAGTTTGGAGGCGAAAAAATGATTATTTCTTAAAAATGTTATTCTTGCAAATTAATATTCAGCCATATTGTTCTTAAAAAATATTTGTTTAATATGTACATGTAAGAAAATAATTTTTTAACTAAACTTTATTTCAATAAATTATAGTTTTAGCACATCCCTCCAAAATATTTCGCGAAAATAATTTGGAGGCAACCGCTGTTTTACAGTTAAAACAATTTTTTCAATAATTTTTGTAATTATTGTCGTGTATGAATTAAAGTTTCAATTATAATTGCATTAAATTAAAATAATATAATTCACAATTTTTCGATATTCTCATAATTCAGGAGAAGTGAAAATAGTTTGGAGGCGAAAAAATGATTATTTCTTAAATATGTTATTTTTGCAAATGAGTATTTTATTTCTCTCAATTATAAAACATTTGTTAACGTTTTTAAAAATTTTAAATTGAGGATTAATGCCTTGGAACCGCAAAATCTTCGTCGCCTTCCATATTTCAAATACTGGACTGTCTGTCACGTGTTACTGCTGCGATGCTGTGAGTAAAAAGACAAAGCGTGCTATCAGCACACAAGCGTAGTGTAGGCACAACATTTTTCACAAAATTCCTAGAACTTTTTTCTCAATAACACCAGAAATTAAAGCCTGTTTCATATACACGCGCTTTTAATATGTAATTGACCAATCATAAGAAGTTTTCAAAAAAATTCGTTAAAAACCAGTTGAGAACCCCTTCGTTCTCACAGCGTGGTGACAGCACGGATCTCGAAAACACCCATAGTCGAGAGAGCTTCACGGTCGAACAACGTGAACGTGTGTATCGACAACGGTCGATACTATCAATTTAAAATGGCGTTCGCGCCAGATATCGACAAAGTTCGAATCTTAATTCTCACATATTTTTATTATAATTTATAAAAAACAAATTTGGGGTTTAATCATGCGCCTCGTTTGAAATAATGTATAAATTTAATGTTTATTTAAATTTATGTGATCAGTTATTAGTGATTTTTAATAAAAAAATAATATGAAAAAAATCGAAAAATAAGGGTTGATTTTGAAAAAAGGGGTCAAAATTTTTTTTTTTAAATTTCGCATACATTTTTTAAAAGTACGTGAAAAATGCATTAAAATTCATTATAGACAAATGAAAATCCATTAACTTTTGTCATAGTTATACGGATTTGAAAATGACAATGTTACCTTTAATTCTTCGAAATTCTTGCACATGAATAGACTGCAGCACTAATTAATTCTGTTAAATTCACGTTGAAAAATTTTAATAAAATTTCTTTGAATCTTATACAACGAATTAAAAATTCTCCACAATACTTACATTACAATAAATTTGTTATAAGTAACTAAATTATTTAATTTTTATACTGAAAGAATAATATCAAATACGCATAAAACAAATAAAATTTAGGTATACATTAAAAAAAATCCTTAGTTATAAATATTTTTTTGATTTAAAAAAAAATTTTCTTTTAAACATTGCAATGTTTAAATTATTTATGTTCAATTTAATACGTTTTTTCTTATATATTAAGGTGTTTCTTGAGCAAAAATATTTTCTTTACTATATATACACTACCGTCCGAAATTGTGCGAACTCTGCTTTTTCAACAACTATAAAACTGTTCAAATCTTCAAAAATATTAAAACTAAAATTTTTTTCTCTTTATTTTATTAAAGTTAATAAAATTCTGAAAGAAATGACACCTTGACAAAGAGAATATGTTAATTTTTCAATTAGATATCTAAGAAAAACCCAATTTTCAATGTTTTTACTATTTTTTTTATTTCTCTGGCAAAAATTAATATTTTTAAACGTTCTTAGGCTCATTGAAATCGTATTTTGTTACGCAATTCAAATTATATAAAACAATTCATGTACACATTCTTCCCTAGCGTATGCAAATCCTCAAAGTTGGCTCATAAAATGTCAAAAAATTTAAATTTAATTCTACAATAAAATATAATGTTTAAAAATCAAGTAAATATATCATTCTAAACTTCTCTGATTTATGTAAGTAAATTTAAGATTTATACATTTTACTGATCATTTTTTGTCATATAAATATTAATCACAATTTTTTGACATTTTATGAGCCAACTTTGACGGTTTGCATACGCTAGGGAAGAATGTGTACATGAATTGTTTTATATAATTTGAATTGCATAACAAAATACGATTTCAATGAGCCTAAGAACGTTTAAAAATATTAATTTTTGCCAGAGAAATAAAAAAAATAGTAAAAACATTGAAAATTGGGTTTTTCTTAGATATCTAATTGAAAAATTAACATATTCTCTATGTCAAGGTGTCATTTCTTTCAGAATTTTATTAACTTTAATAAAATAAAGAGGAAAAAATTTTAGTTTTAATATTTTTGAAGATTTGAACAGTTTTATAGTTGTTGAAAAAGCAGAGTTCGCACAATTTCGGACGGTAGTGTAGTATAATTTTATTAAAAATTAAAAAATTTTTATTTTAATACCTATACCAAATTAAAATTCTTTCACAAAATAAAGTAAGACAATATTCGTAAAACTATACTTTTTAAATTTCTCTTTTTTATTAATAATGCCTGACACTATAGATCTGTCAATTTTTAGCTGCTACTATAGCGAATAATTTTTGTACTGGAATATTCTATAACATAGAATTTTAATAATATTGTACAATATATGATACCTGGTCTATGAAATGGGGGCTTAGGTATCAAACAATCATTTTTGACTTTTTTACTTATTCGGATAGAGTTTGAGACGCTCTTTCTCATACACGGTGAGCTTCGTTTTGGTTCAACCTAAACTGCATGACCCTTCTCAGGTTTTTTTTTATATCAGTTCGGTGATGCCTCACGATCATTTTAAGACGAAAATTAAAATAATCGTTGGAGGGAAACTCAAATTATATTGATTTTAAAATTTTTTTTCTAGGTTATTGAAGATATTTTCATTAAAATACCGTTTGGTAAAATACTTATTGCTTCAAAAGCTACAATTTAACATAAAAATAGATTATATATAATAATTAAACCATTTTGATACATAGAATTAAGAAAATGTTTAAAAATAGTCGAAAAAACTGAAATTTTTCTAATTTTTTAAACTTTACTCCTTTATTTAACGTTATTTCAATAAAGTCATGTAGAAGTGAATTAAAGTACATAAAATTTCCTGTAAATCAAAAAAAACTCTTCTATCTATTACCGTTACAAAAATATGGTCATTTGAATTTTAAATTTAATGGATAAATAGTTAAAATTTAACATTAGGTCTAGATTATTTGGTAAAATTGTTTTCGCAGAACCTCATCTCAATTCCATAATTAAATCGCGCTCTTTGTGAATATAACGGCCTTCACGCATTTTAAAAATATCGTGGTTGTTACCAAATATTTGTACCTTACCATTTACTTTTTAAAAAAGTAAATATTTTAATTATGA